TTTTTTTTTTTGACCCAAGGTCTGGCTAAGTTGCCCAGACTGACTTAAAACTTACAATCTTCCTGCCTCAGTCTCTTAAATAGCTGGGATTACAGCATATGACACCACACCTAGCTTTTTCTTTCTGTATTTTCAGTGCTAGGGATGGAACTCAGGTCCTTTAATATGCTGGGCAAGTGCTCTACCACTGAGTTACATCTATAGCCCTTTATATTTTTCACTTCGAGACAGGGTTTTGCTAAGTTGTCCAGGCTGACCTTAAACTTATAAATAAATGAATAAAATAAAGCTCTACCAACAACTAAAAATATTTTAAAAATTAATAAACTTTTAGCTAGATGAATCAAGAAAAGAGAAGACATGAATTCCCAATATTAGGAATGAATGAAGTGGTCTTACTGAACCTCCCTTCAGAGAGTAAAAGGATAAGATGGGAATAAGTCTGAAAATCTAGATGGAATATTTAACAAAAGTTAACAAAATTGACTCAAGAAAACTTGAAAGCCCTATATAAGTTAGAGATTTAATTCATAATTAAAAACTTTCCACATAGAAAATTACGATTCTTGGGCTGGGGATGTGGCTCAAGTGGTAGCGTGCTCGCCTGGCATGCGTGCGGCCCGGGTTCGATCCTCAGCACCACATACAAACAAAGATGTTGTGTCCTCTGAAAACTAAAAAATAAATATTAAAAAATTCTCTCTCTTTCTCTCTCTCTCTCTCTCTCCTCTCTCTCTCTCTCTTTTTTCTATCTTTAAAAAATAAGAAAGAAAATTACAGATTCAGATGGCTTCCCTGATGAATTCCATCAAACAATGAAGGAAGATAAATACCCATCTTGCACAAACTTTTTTCAGAAAATAAGAGGAAGCATTTCCAAACTTATCATTAATTTGATTACAAAATCAGAGACATCACATGAAAAAAAGAATTCAGAGCAATATCACCCATGAATACAGACGCAAATGTTCTTAAAAATACTGGCAAATAAAAATCAATATTATGTAAAAAGGATGCTGCATGCCATATCCAAGTGAACTGTATCTCAGAGTATAAGACTAGTTTAAAATCAGAAAATCAATCAATGTAATTTACCAAGATAGAATACAGACGTTAAATCATATCATTATTTCAACATATGCAGGAAAAACATTTCATAGAAATCAATATTCCTTCATGATAAAAATCTTTCAACATCTAGAAATAGAAGTCCTCTGCATCTGATTGTTCATCTATGAAAAAAACCCTATAGCTAACACTACACTTAAGAGTGAGAGGTTTAATGTTTTCTAAAATCACAAATGAAGCAAAGATATTCACTTTGTGTTGATTTAACTTTGTACTACAAAGCCCAGGTAGTAACTAAGGGAGGAGAAAGAAAAAGCAGATTAGAAAGGGAACGGTAAAAGTGTACTATCTGCAGATAAAGTGTGTGCAGAACACTCTAAGGCACCTGGGTCCAGGGAGCAGGACTAGGACTAATAAATCAATTTAGCAAGGTTGTAGGACACAAGTTCAAAACAAAAATTAATTGTATTTCTATATAATGGCAACACACAAAAAATAGAAAATGAAATTTAGGTAAATCAATTTAAAACAGCATTAAGAAAATTAAAATACTTTGAGATAAATTGAATAAAATGTATGTGAGACCCAGATGCTGACAACTATAAAATATTTTTCTCTCAAGTAGAAAAACTGAAGGAGAAATGAAGAACTATATAAGGCTCATGGATTGGGGATACAACATTTTAAGATGTCAATTCCCCCCAGATCAATGAAGATTTTCAATACCATCCCAATCAAAATTCCAGCCAAATGTTTTGTAGACATTTACAAACTAATTCAAAAATTTAAGGCTGGGGATATAGCTCAGTTGGTAGAGTGCTTGCTTCGCATGCCCAAGGCCCTGGGTTCGATTCCCAGCACCACACACACAAAAAAAACCTATTCAAAAATTTATATGAAAATGCAAAGGAACTAGCTTCGCCCAAACAATTCTAAGAAAGAACAAAGATGGAAAACTACTCCCTAATTTCAAGACAGTGTAGACACAGCATGGTATAGCGACATCAGGCAGATACTGATGGAACAGAACAGAGTTCAGAATTAGAGTCACATTTATATGGAAATTGAGTTTTGATAAAAATGCCAAAGAAATGAAAGAAAGATTTCAAGAAATGGGGCTGGGCAACTGATTATCTATAGGGATTTTTTTTTTTAATTTTCCAAATTAGAATTTTATATCCATGAAAAGGAGAGCAGAGACATTTTCTCTCCAACAAAAACTGAAGATTCATCACCAGGCAACACAAACTAAAGGAAAAATAAAAATAGTTCTTCAGGCAGAAGAAAAAAATAATCCCATAAGAAAATAGAATTTGGGAAAAAATAAACAACAACAAATGGGAAAACAGGTAAGTAGGAAAGTATCAACTCTACACTTAAGTAATGATTATTACTAGTCACTGAGTTTAAAATGTGTGTAAAATCAAATACATGGAAATAGTAACACAAAATGCAGAAGAGTGTTCATGGAATTCAAGTTCTAAGGTTAGCATTCTCGGAGAACCCGAGAAAAGCCATGATTTGCATTTAATAGTAACAAGGTAAGGATGCATGTTCTCATTTACAGAGCAGCCACTAAAGAAATGTCAAAGGCTATATAATAAGGTAATGAGAAGAAAATGGAACAATTGTTTCCTTTTTGCCCATAAAATCATATAAAATATAATCTCATAAATACTTTTACTAATACCTTATCTGAGACTTTCAATTTGTGAGATACTTGAGTTGCTGTTCCTCTGGATATACCAAATGCCTACTAACGTGTGTTCTGGTTCTTTTTTGTCATATTAATTTAGAGCCATGTATATGAAAGAGAAAAATTCACAGACTTAGACAAAAAACAAACATCAGTATCAGTAAATATTTTATTTGAACATTTAAGGTTGAACTTTGTAGCCAGAAGGTATAAAGGTGAACATTCTTCATAATCACCGAAATCTAAGAAACTCACATTGGAACTGATTTGAGGGTAGTGAGATTGGGAGAAGTTTGAGATACTCAAAATTCTGAAAGAAAATTAAACAGCTCATTCATCAACATGTACCATCAAAGCACAGCTCCTCCTCAACCCAGTTCTTTCTTCAGTGCTGGCATTTCCATTCCTCTGATCCCATATTTTCCTTCCTCTTTTCACTTGATCCTTCACCTATACATGTCTCATGAAGGACTTCACTGCAATGGCAAGTTCAGGGTCATCATGAAAGAACTTTTTGGCTCCAAATCCATAAGCCTCCTGACATCCCCCAAGAGTCCTGCTCTGAGGTCCCATCCAAAGCCTATGGAAGTCAACTGGTGGAAATGGCTGCCCCTCTGTCATTTTGTTAAATTCCAAAGTCCAAGCTTGAGTCAGGTTTGAGTTGATGCCAGGTGAGTAAGAGAAGCTGTGACTCCCTTTGGGCAACCAGCAAACTTAGTCTAATTTATAGTAAATAAAATAAGCTATCCACCTGAATTATGAAAATCAAGGATATACATGGAAGAGTAGCCAAGCAGAGGACTCTTAGAGATGTCAGTGATCGCTTGGCTTGAACTTCAGGGCCACACTGTTGATGCAAAATCTCTGTCCTGTGGGTGCAGGTCCATCAGGAAACACATGGCCAAGATGAGCTTCACACTGCAAGCACAGAGAAGCCTTCATCACTCCCAGTGGAAACAGAGCCCTTTACATAGAACCAGACAAATGGACCTCGTGTGCCACCTAACTCCAAAGTCTGACATCTTTGTATGTGTATATGGGAAACTGTCACATCAGAATTTGATTAAGGTATGGAATAACTCAGGACACAATAGTGGTAAATAGTCCTACTTTACCAGTGAGAATGTACACCAACTATCAAATTTATGCCTTGATTTACTCACCTATAAAGTAGGAATGATAATTATACCTACTTCATAGAGTGTTATCAAGATTAATTGAGACAATGTACAGAAAGCAGCAGCACAATTCCCGGTGAGTACTGAATAATGTTGCTATGGACAGGATATCATTATATATCTCAAAACTATGCTGTCTGAATCTACTTGCTTCTGGCATTTTACAAAACCTGGGCCTCAAAAGATGAGAGCACCCAAAACTGGCAAAATGATTTTTCTGTCTGGATTTAAGTCACTCCCTCCTACAAGGTTCCCAGAAGGAGTAATGTGCTGTTGTCACCTGGAGTATCCCTTTGCCTATCAGTGACATACTTCAGAGTGGAGAAGGAGACAGAGAGATGCCAACCACATGGGCTTGCCTGTAGCCTGTCCCTGCTCAAAACAATGTGACCTACCAGTTTTTTAGATCCTAACCCTGGTCCTATCTCTGTGGAAGGTGAGAACCAGGAAAGCCCATTTGAGAATGATGGGAGAGAGGGGTCATTAAGGGCATGAGTTTCTGCTAATATATTCTTATACTACATTTATTTATTAAGTTTTTGTGATGCTGGAGACCAAGCTCAGGGTCTATCACTGAGCTGTATCCCCAGTCCTTTTTATTTTTTATTTTGAGACTGGGTCTCATTAAGTTGCTAAGGCTGGCTTTGAATTTTCGACCCTCCTGCCTTGGCCTCCCAAGTAGCTAGGCAGGTGCCATAGTGCCCGCTTCTCAATGCCTTTTGATGACAAAGTGCTTCCATGGAACAAGAAAGCAGATGCCAAGCACAGGAGAGTTCCTTGTGGCACTTTTAGCCACATTAGAGAAAATAATATAAAGCACAATACACCACCTGCTTGCAGACCACCTCTGTGCGAGTTTTCCCTGAGGAGGTGTCTAGACGTCTCAGGATTCCACTGTTACTTTCATCAGAGTCCAAGGTGCCATGAGCCTCAGAAAATGAAGGCCATCCGGTGCCAGAGCAGAACTTCTTCTCAGAGCTGTGGAAGGCAGTACCAACACCGTGACCAGTAAAGACGCTGTTATTAACATACCAGGAGCATTTTTTTTTCGCTAATTCGTTTTTCCAAGAAGCCAGACCTGATTCCCACTTTGCTCTGTCAGATCGCAAGCTTGGCCAGGTCGACCATCAGTTCCACAGACTTGTTCCCACTGCACCCCTTCGCTATTAAGAACATTGTCTGGCCACAGTGAAAGGATGTCTTGTGCCTTTGATGCTAATGGCTTCTTTCTATGTCTGATCTAAAGGACTGAAAAACACTTGGAGCTTTGTGAACTCTGTTGCATATTAGAAAGTGCAAATCAAATCCATGTGTCCTGAATGCAGAAAAAGGAGAAATCAAATAGAAATAACAGTGGTCAAAGGGGGTCAAGGGATCTTAGCACATCAGAGAAGCACCAGAAGCAACCACTTTTAGCACAGGGAACTTCCAGTTATCTAAACACACGAGCTGCCTGCCTGGGGGGACTAGTAGTATGAAATCAGACAAGCTGCTCAACCTTCCAAGGCCTGGTCATCTGTGAAATGGGACAATCATGCCTATCCCAAAGGGGATGCTCTGAAGAACATGGTATAAACTGAGTGTAGTGCTAGGCACATATACTCACTATGATTATTTTTATTAATATATAAGCCCAGGTACTCTGTGCCAATCACTCCAGTGAAGCCTGAGCTTCCAGGGGAGTCTCTAAGGAACTAACGATGCTAAAGGCAGAATGGGCCAGGAAAACTGTCGAAAGGAGCAACTTGCAAATCTGCTCACCAGAGACCCCATTCTCAAGGCTGGGGGTGCAGCTGAGAGGCTGCTTAGCATGCACCAGGCCCTAGGTTCCATCTCCAGCACCACATTAAAAAAAATTAACAAAGAGCCCATTCTCTAAGAGCTTGGACAGATAAGCTCTTGCAAATGGCTTTAGGAAAATAGATTTTTAAGAAATTTTAGATGGTAGGGAGATGACTTGCTCTCCACCTGCGAAAGAAATAATTGAAAGTTAAACCTTGCCAAAAATTGAACAAACAAGAAAGGAGTAGTGAATAATGGAATTCTTGACTCTAAACACAAAGGAAGTGAGCAGAGAACATAAAACCCACTAGGAAGAGGACATCATGACACAGTGAGCTTTAGACATTTTGGTCCCGGGATCCCTCCATGCCCCAAATGTCTAAGAATTCCCTAGAGTTTCTGTTTCCATGAGTGACAGATACATAACCAATTAGAAATGATAACTGAGAATTTTATAATACATATGCGTTATATTACTTTTTAAAATAATAAATCATTACATATTAACATTTCATGACAATACTGTTTTCCAAAATGAAACAGACACTGAATGAGAAGGATTGCATTGTTTTACAATTTTACAGATCTCTTTACTGTCTGGCTTGGAAAAGGACAACTGAAACTTCCTACGTGCCGCTGCACTTATTCTGTTGCAAGATACAGTTTTGATACAGGAAGGGGACAGCACAACTCAGTGGTAAAGTGTGTGTATGGTCCTAGGTTGGATTCCAAGCACAAAAACAAAAGGACTTTGTTCTCACGTGGATGGATACATCTTGGGAAAAGGGTCACCTGGTAGATCCCTTAGATAGGTCCCAGGGATCCTCAGGAATCCTCTCTGAGAACCACAGGTATGCCCCTTAGTGGTAAGGGCTTGACTTCCAAAAGATGTTGGTGTGAAGCCACACTGTTATATCTGTGTGCTCTTGGCAAGTTATTTAATAGTTACTTAATCTTTTAAAGAAGAGAATTGGTGTCCTAAACTCCAGAATAGCAACAGCATTATTAAATCACATGCTTGTTGATAGAATTCACTGAGATATTTCTATAAATGGTGTTTTTAGAGCAGCGCCTGACACATAGTATGTAAGTTTGTAGCTATTCTTTTTAACATCATTACTAATAACAGACATTCTAAATTTGAGCAGCCATGGGTCCAACTAGAAGTCTCTGCACACTCAGGTTAGGTTCTTTGCAACTCTTTTCTGAGAGTTCAGAAATATTCACATGGCACTGAGGGTGTAGCTCAGTGATTGAGCACTTGCTGGCATGCATGTTCAAGGATCTGGGTTCAATCCCTAGTACTGCAATAAAGAAACAAAAATATCTGCCTTGCCACTATGTCTCGGGAAAAAACATCATAAGCCTCTTTTAATCAGCATCTTTCCATCCTCAACATTATATAAACTACTGATCATGAAAGGAATTTTCATAGAGAATTACGAATATAATAAATTTTTTAAATGAATGAATTTTAGACTAATAAAAAGTCATTAAACATTTTATGGGAAACAATAAACCTTTATTGATGCAATTAGCAGATTCTGGAGATTTTACCAAGTAATATGATAGGGTCAACATATATCACTTAAGACTGAGAACCTAAATGTTTTTTTAAATATTTTTTTTAGTTGTAGATGGACATAATACCTTTATTTTGTTAATTTATATTTATGTGGTGCTGAGGATGGAACCCAGTGCCTCACACATTCGAGACAAGCACTCTACCACTGAGCTACAACCCCAGCCCAAGAACCTAAATATTAATGCTAATTAGAAATTATACATATTTAAATGATCATAAGGCTCATCCTTGGAAAACTAAAACTATTCTGTATCATGTACTCGAGAAGGTATTCTCTTGTTTATCTAGTTTGGTTTTCTTCCTTTTCTGGATATTCCACAGCCCCCAAAGTAACAATAAAGGCACCAGAGATAAATGACATCCCTAATCCCAAAGTCCTAGAAGAATCTGCATTCAATTGAAGAAAGAGGGCACATCAGAGATTTCCAATGTTACTTAGTTATTCAGGACATTAGAATGTCACATAAAAAGTGAATTAGCCCTCAGTTTTCTCCTATTTTAAGATTTATGACCAGAAATATATGTGAGTCTCACAAAACTTTTTAATAAACCCTACCAGAAGCAGCCTGGAAGAGGGAGCAGACAGGGGCCAATGTCACTTAATTCCAAGGTTATCCACAGTATGGAGTCCCTCAGGAGTGGTAACATCCTGGAAAGCATTCATGACCTTAAAACCCTCAACCCGTGGTCTCTCATTAGAAGAGGCAGTGCTCTCCACAAATGTGCACTGTGATCATTCTTAAGACAATGGAGTCAGGAGGGGAACTACATTAAGTGTGACAGATGTGTCTGGGAAAGAGGCTCTGGGCAGTGAGTCTGTGGCTTACCCTGGCTGGGCATATCTGTTGGAGGCTAGTTATGTCTTCCCAGGGACCTATGGATGTAATTTGGATGGCTGGCACCAGAAAGTGGTGGTGTCTGATTCTATAGCACTGCACAAAAGGCTGATGGAAACCCAGGTGACAGCATGGGCTTCAGAGCCCAAGTGCCATGGCCTGGGGTTTTTGTCTGGATGCTGTACCACTCTGGAAAAGTCAACTCTCCTAAGACTGTTTCCTGGCATGAAACGAAGGTAAGGACAACACAGAGAGCTGCCGGGAGGTCTGATGTAATGCTGGGTGTGAAGAGCCTGGCGTGTGGGTGGGTTTGTTGCTGGACCCTGTTTCTGAGGAAGGGCATGCTCAGAGGTTCCTGTGGAACATGAGTTCAGTGCTATCACTTACTAGAGATGTGACTGCTGTGGTTTGCCCCTCTGAAACTCAAGTTGAAATTTGACTGCCATTGTGGTGGCACTGGGAGTTGTGGCCTTGAAGAGGTAACTAGGTCATTAAGAGGGACTATGGGAGTTCTTATGGGACTAGATTAGTTACAAGAGCCAGTTGCTGCAAAATGAGGCCACCCTTTGCATTTTGCTTCTTTCCAATGCTCTATTGGACCTTTAGCTTTTCCACCATGTTACAATGCAGCAGAAGACCCTCACAGAAGCCAAACAGATGCCAGCCCCATGCTCATGAACTTCCCAGCCTCCTGAACCATGAGCTAAAATAAACTTATATTTGTTATAAATCACTCAGTCTCAGGTCTTCTGTTACAGGAATAGAAAAAGGAATGAAAACATGAGCAAGTTACTTAAAGAGATAAAATGTCAGTTTTCACATCTGTTAAATAGGGTACTAACAGATCCTAGAGAGCAAGAACTATTTACAAAGTACTGAGCCCAATTCTTTAACTGCTCAAGAAGTGCCAGGTATGCTGGCCCACACCTGTAATCCCAGCAACTCGGGAGGCTGAAGTAGGAGAATTGTCAATTTGAGTCCAGCCTCAGAAACTTACTGAGACCCTGTCCCACAATAAAAAGTAAAAGGGCTGTGGATATGGATGTGGCTCAGTGGTTAAGTGCCTCTGGGTTCAATCTCCAGGACTGAAAACCAAACAAAAAAACCCATGCTCATGAAGTTGCAGCTTCTTCTCTCACATTTCCATGGTGCTTTCCATCATCACTGCAACACCCTTAGATAGTCTCGATATTGCTACTGCTGCTAAGCACTAAAGCAGATATCATTAATCAACCAGTCAAGAGGTACTTGGTGAGCACCATGCCAGTTTCCTAGCACGGCTGCAGAACATTACCAGAGAGTAACTGGGACAAAATCAAGATGCCAGCAGAGCCATGTTCCCTCGAAGACCCTGGGGAATCCCCCTGTGCCTCTTCCTAGCTTCTGAAAGTGGCTGGCATCCTGTAAAGTGGATAAACTCCAGTTGCTGCCTTCACATTCACATGGTATTCTCTTCTATGTGTCTGTGACTTTTTTTCCTCTTCTTATAAAGACATCAGTTATATCAAATTAAGGGCCTGCCCAACACCAGTATGACTAATGGCCCTGTTTCCATTTACAGGTTCCAGGGATGAGGATTTCAATGTATCTTTCTTGAGACACAATTCTACCCCTAACAACCTCCCTGAGGTATGTACAAGAAGTATAATGGCTAAGGAACTTGAGGAGCTTGTCAGTTTTATTTCCTCAACTAAAGAAAATATTTGAGCCAGTAGAACAGCACACAGTCCTAGATTGTGTGCTACTGACAAAGTAACAGGAATCTGTAGCAGAAAAAATAAATCCAAAAATAGACGTGTGCTATCAGAGAAGGCCTCAACAAGCAATCTGGGCTCCAAGATAAATGAAGCCTAAATCACACACAGTAGGGGCAAGCAGAGCCAGGAAGGCAGGCCCAGCCCGATTCTGCAAGTAAGAAGCAGCCTGGCTGGGGTAGAAAGCAAGGAGGTGGTTGATCCCTGCATGTACCTTTTCTTTTTAACTAGGATTCAGTTCTGGCTGACCAACTTTTCACTTTGTTTTGACTCTATATGAATTCTTTAAGAAATTATTTTTCCTGTTCCCCTACTTCCTATAATAAAAGCTTAAGAATAGAAAGAGGAAAAAATGGTGCCAGGTTGGCAAAATAGCTTAGTGGTAGGACACTTGCCTAGCATGTGTAAGGCCCCAGGTTCAATCCCCAGTACTGTCAAAAAAATAAAAATAAGCAAGTAAATAAAGGCTTGGGTCCCAGCTTGGTGCTCTGGGAGTTAGTAGAACCTTTAAGAGGCAGGGATTACTGGAAGGTCTTTAGGCGGATGGTGACATGCCCTTGAAGAGAATGGTGTGTTTCTAGCCCCTTCCTCTCTTTTGCTTCCTGGCCATGAGGGGAGTGGTTTTGCTCTACCATACACTAAGATGAGCCACTGCAGGCCAAAAGCAATGTGGCCAATCAATCATAGACTGAAACCTCTAAAATTCTAAGCCAAAATAAGCCTTTTCTCTTTATAAGTTGATTATCTCAGAATTTGTTATAGTTATGGAAAACTGACCAACACACGGATATACTCTTATTTCCTTCAGTCTTAGCTACAGCTACAGGGGCAGCAGGAAGACAGAACAGAAATTCAAAAGTTATTGAAAAGAAAATGGAAAATTTTTAACTAAAATTAAATGCTTACAAACAAATAATTAAAGTTCATGAGTTGACAGTTCAGTTAACTGGCCTCATGGTTAACAATTTTTCCCCACCCCCTTGGCTGATTTTCTTATTCGTTTTGGCTGTTTCAGATCCTCAACCTGAAGTTGATGACTTAATCTAAATTTGAACTATCTTTGTGCTAATATAACACACATGCATATAATTCAGCCACATTTCCAATGCTTAATAGTCCCAAGTGAGTCAGAGCAGGTTCAAAACATGTGCCCCATTCTGGTGAGTCTTCCTGGAGAGCCTTCTGCTCTGGTCACTCCCAGCTCCAACCTTCTGTGACTCTGTGACAGCCTGTGTGGTGAGGGGACAGGACATTGAGGGATGAGATGGCCTCCTCTTTGCAGATGTGGAACAGCAAATCGAAGAAGGAAGACTAATACTGAGTAGAGTACTCTTACAAGGATCACCTTTCATTTTTTGTGGTCACAGTGGTTAACAGTCCAAATATAGAAACAGGACATCTTCTGGTGACTAGGTAGTAACAAAGTATACTTTCACAATATGGTCCTCTGGCTGAAAGCAAGCCAGCCAACTGAACACTCCTCTTTATAGAACCTCTTTCTTCATACTTCTCCTCTTTCATAGAACCAAAGATAAGGAATAACAAATATCTCCAAAATATGAATCTTATATTTTACTGCTGTGATACTGTGAAATACATATTTGGCTTTTCTCCTATTTCCTGGCATATACAACTTCTAAAGTTTTAGAATCTTAAAAATTAGAGTCTTTTTATATGTTAATGAGTTGACTCATGGCAAACAGCCATACAGAGCTTCAGGGTGGGACTAGTCACCCTGAAGAAAGAGCAAGGCAATGGTCAGAGGATTGAGACTTTCAGCTCCACCCCCAACTTCTGGGGAAGTAGAAGGGCTGAAGTTGATCATCCAAAATCAATGATTTAGTCAATCATGCCTACGTCATAAAGCCTCCATAAAACCCCAAGTGGATAGGGCTGGCGAGTTTCCTGATAACTAAACATGTGGAGGTTCCTGAAGGATGCACCCCTTTCCCTGAACTTCATTCTGTGTCGTCATCAGTATAAGTGTTTTCCTGAGTTCTGTGAGCTCTTCAAGCAAATTAGTGGAACCCAGGGAGGAGATTGCAGGAAATCTTATTTATAGCTGGCTGATCAGAAGCACAGGTCACAATCTGGGGTTACAAGTGGCATCTGAAGCAGAGGAGGTCCTTGGGGACCAACCCCTCAATCTGTGGGGCCTGATGCCATCTCTAGGTAGGTCATGTCAGAAGAGAACTGGATTAGAGGACATTTAGTTGGTACTCACCATGGAACTGACTAGCTTCAGGGTAGAAAACATCATGACTTTGGAGGTCACAAAAATCTCCTGTGTTGATTGCTATGGTATGAGGGAGGAAGGTTTGTTTTTTCAACACGACTATGTAAAAATTAAATTCCTTCTAGCTCCCCACAAGCTATCCTGGGCTGACTGCCTTCCTTATATCTCCTCATCAGCCACGGACAATGTTTAGGCGTCTGGACCAGGGCTGGTCCCCTTCCCTAAGCATGAAGGGAAATCGATCCTAATGCCCCTCGTCCTTGCAGGCAGGGTCTGGCTTCCTAATGCTGCCCGCATTAGCAGCCAGCCAGCCAGCCAGGAAACCCCGTCTGCTCAAAGCCCAGAGGACAGAAGGAAGCGCTGCCTAATGGAAGATTTGCAGAGCTGGCTTGATTTATATTTTATTCTAAACCAATTTAGGGTTGATGCAAAAGAAAGGAAAACATCTTTGAAGTTCTGAAAAACAGGACTTCAAAGATGTTTCCTTTCTTCTTCATTGAATCTCCTTTTTTTTTTTTTTAGACTGTTTCCTGCATATCTAAACAAAAAAGCCTTTGTTGAGAGATTTTAGATCCTGATTGACTTAAAAGAGGCTTTGAAATCAAGGGACAATTAAATTTACTTTTAGCTACATAGAAGAGGGCATGGTATTTACTACTGTCAAGCACTGTGGGGAATCTATTCTCATAAAATTCTACATTTCCTAAATTAAATTATAAACCCATTTTCCCGGGGAGAGGTATAGTTTTAATCACATGCCAGAGCAAATACTATTAGGGTTTAGATTTCTTTAAAATACTTTCCCTCTAAAAAAATTCTAATAGCTTTATCGTAAGAAATAGCTTAATTGGTATTTCTCAGGGATACATAAAGGAAAAATATAAGCCAAGAAGTCTTGTTAACTGTTTTACCTGTGAGAAAAAAAAATCAAGACAGACAGGTATCTTCTAGAAATAGCTCTCTTTATGCAACAATGCCAAAAGATAAGGACAATCAAAAGACAACCTGCCCAGGAGGTACAGGCCTGTAACCCCAACTACTCAGGAAGGCCAAGGCAGGAGGACTGCCAAGTCCAAGGGCAGCCTGGGAAACCCAGAGAGAGCTAATCTCAAAACAAACAACAAACAACAAAAACCCCACGCAAAAACAGAGCATAAAAACAAGATAGGGGGGCTGGAGGTATAGCTCAGTGGTAGAGCACACACTTAGACTCTGAGTTTGATTCCTAGTAAATAAATACCAATAAACGAATAAATAAATAAATAAATAAATAAATAAATAAATAGCAATGTATTTATCCAAAACCTCAAATGAGGATTGTGGAATAGGTAGGTTTGCTCTCCCTCATTGCCTCTGAATCCTTCATCTTACCTGAAGAGTGGACTATCACAGCACACACAGTGATACATTCCTGACTCCTTGTTGTCCAGGTAGATCCCACTGAAAGGCTGAAAGGAAATGAGATACATCATGTGCAGGTTTCCTACATGGAAGTGATATAGCACATTTTAAAACAAGATTGGGGTTGGGAGCATAGCTCAGTGGTAGAGAGCTTGCTTAGCATGCATAAGGCCTTGGGTTCCACCCCCAGCATTGGAAAAGAAAAAAAAAAATAAAAGGAAATAAAGAAAGGAAGGAAAGTAGGTAGGAAGGAAGGGAGAAAATACATCAGAAGCATAGCTGGGTGAGATCAGGGGTTTTTGCCTTTCACATGCTTCACATGGTGCTGAGGACACTACATATTTATCGGGTTCCTGGGGTGCCAGGGCCACTGCTTAGATGAAATTACTACATTCATTATGGCTTTAAGAGCTTTCAGGTTTGTAAAGCTATGCCAAGAGAAATACAGGGAGACTTATGGCAATGCATGAGCTGAGTCAGTATTTTTTTTAATGTTATTTTGCAAACCGAATCTCAGTTAAAAAAAAAAAAAAGAGCCATTTTGTCCAATTCCTTTTTTCATCTTCTTTGTCAAAGAAAACTATAAAAGGGAAACTGTGATGATCACATCATAGCACCCAGTGGCAAGCATTACCCAATTCCACAGGATGGAGAGGCCAAGGTCAGAACAGCTTATCAAGTAAGAGGGTTGACTCAAGAAATAAGCTGGACTCTTCTGCCCACTCCAGTTTCCCTAACTCAAAAAACTCCAGGTCAAACCTTCAAATTCCCAGGGGTGGTACTAATGGTCCATTTTCAATGAGATTCCCAGCAGACATTTTCAAATTAACCTACTGAGCCTCCCACATGGATACACTTGGACATTTTCCCTCTTTAAAAATCCTGTATTTAGGAGGATTGTGAGTTCAAAGACAGCCTCAGCAAAAGTGAGGCACTAAGCAACTTAGACCCTGTCTCTAAATAAAATACAAAATAGGGCAAGGAATTGAGTACCCCCCAAGTTCAATTCTTGGAACAACAACAACAAAAAAAAGTCCTGCATTTAGCTGCAGAAATCCTAACAGTAGTGATCTGGTCTTTTATGGCCAAACCTCATGAATGCTTGCTCTTAACAATAGCACTGATGGGCATCTGTAACCAAGAAGAAGTTTTACATCCCTCCCACCTGTGCTAATAGTACACACATGCCAAAGAGCTACCAGCCCCAAGGCTAATCTAGAAAAGCCTATCTGTAGGAACCAGACAGCTTGGTAAGATTCAAAATGTAATCTCATCATCACAGGGAAAGGTTTGGCAGAAGAGGGTCACTGCTATCACAATAAGTGAAATAAATATAAATAATTCAAATGAAGAATTCTTAGCCAGCATATTTTATAAAATGACATATACCTGCTGATTCTTGCCTGACTCTTGATGTATTCCTCCCCACATCCCAATTATATACAAGTCCTCTCACTTAATTAGGACTAAATTCATCTTCTATCTTATTTGTTCGGTTTAGCTATTGTTGATGACCCTGTATGTACTCAGTGCCGGGCTGGATGTCAAAGCTGCAAAGATTAGAAAAAGCTCACATTTTCCCTTTCTCAAAAAGTTTGCTGTCCAGGCTAGAAGAGATGGGAGTTGACAGTTATACCATGTAATGACTGCATGGCAAGACACTAGCATGGAGTTTGGTGGCATGTGACCCTTTAATATGAGGGGAGTTTCCATTAAGGATTTTTGCAATATAGTGTCTGAGATGGAAGGTTTTTGCTTTGTTTTTTTTTTAACTTTTTAGTATGACTTTGCACAGCTAAATGGTGTTTGTTATAGAAAAATGCTAAAGTGCTAAGCTCAATTTTGAAGGATGAGTAAGAGTTAATCAGATGAAGAGGTGGAAGAGTGTTTCAGACACAGAACAGCTCACACTGGTAGAGAATGGAGAAGATGATACTGGGAAGTCTGGAGAGGCCAGGTCACAAAGGGCTGTAAGTAAACAGAGAAGACACTCTGTCCTGCTAAACACAGGGAGTAGAGCCTCTGGAAACTTGAACACTGGGTGTACACATGATCAGACTCAGCTTTTAGAAAAATCACTTGACATCCAGGTCAAGAATAGATTGAAGGGACTAAAGATATAGCCCAGAATGCTTATTTAGCATATGCAAGTCACTGGGTTTAATTTCTGACATTGCAAAAAAAAAAAAAAAAAAGGACTGGAAACTGAAAAAAGAGGAGAGTGTCAAGAATTATTTAGAAGAGGGAATTGAAATGACTGCCTGCACAGGAGAGGGGGACAGGGTCAGAGACAGAATGAAGTTCAAGCTACCTCTGGGATTTCAAGGTCTGTCTGAACCAATGACAATTCTCCCTTCTTTGATTTTTGTCAGTACAACACACCTACTGGCAAGAAGACACACTCAAAAGGAATGACCACAGATAATTTCACATGGGACTGTTTACAGGGGTGGGAACAGGGTCAAGGGATACCAACACAGGGGGATGACATACCCCCGAGTACTGTGAGAAGACACAACCCACTAAGCCTGTGGGACAAAGGAAGGGGATGGTCGCTGGAACCTGTGTGTAGGGAGGGTGCCTGCAGGAGCTGCCACCTGCAGCGGAGGAACACAGCCACTGCTGACCCGCTGATTCACACAGAAGACCCTGGATCCAAATGGGTTTCTCTATCCTCCTCTGATCTGCCCAGGCATCTCCTGCTGCCCAAACTAAATCAGTAGCCAGAGGTCAAGAAAGCGGTCCCCCCTCCTAGAGCTTGGAACAGGGAGAAGCCAATGGAGACTGGATCAGGAAAAGACAGAGAAGGACCTGCACGAAACCTCCCTCTGTTGATGCTTGATTCTTAGTTATTGCTCAATTAGGCCGAAAATTCTTTTGTTGGTTGCTAGCAGAGCACTAGCGTATTACTGCAGCCCAATAAAAAAACACATGTAACTGAATTTTCATTTGAAGTCACAGAATAGGAGTCGCTATCTTAGAGCTTCCCTTAACATAACGGTGCTAAGACTTCCAGTTCTGCAATATTCTAAAAATTTCCATGTGGAAACACAGCAACTGAAAGGGATTTATAACATTAGTTAAAATAATGGATGATGCTCATTTTGTAAAAAGGCCAAATGCACAGCGTATATCGTACCATCTGTTTCAGAAGCCCTCAGTTTTATTTTCCTAAACATCTGGCAGTGCATCTCCAGGCTCTATGTATACACCAAACCCTGCCTGGCTCTGTACCTGAGAAATCAGGGCTTGCTTCGAGCATTCTGGGGATTCTTATGACTGTTCACGGAGTATCATGTGTGCCATCTACATTGTGCCACCTACAAAAGTGGCAAATGTGGTCTCTTTCTCAAAGAAGGCTTTAGTAAAACTTCACCCACAGGAAGTTGTGAAAATACTGTTCCTCAAGAATTCATTGGGATCTGCCAGCCTGTCTGATGTCTTTAGCATCCGAGAAACTGAGGTACAACCATGATTATGATGCCACATGTACTTCATTTGATTGAATGCAGTAGGTACTGATGAAGTAAAAATGTAAGTACTCTATAGACACTTGTAAAACCACAGTGTTGTGGTCCAGATTCAACAGATTTGTGAATCTGCTTAACAAATGAAAATATCTAATAATAAGTTTCAATAGGTAATTGACAGCAGCTGGATTTGGATCTGAACACGATTCCTGGTTAAGAACCACAAATGGTGTTATAATGAGGAATCACTAGGGGCTGTTGTCTCAGGAAATAAATGAAAGTTGAGATTGTTGAATGCAGCTTAAGTGAAGTTTCCACCTGTAAGCCCACAGTCATTCAACACTCACAGAAATTGATTTTTTGAGTGCCTACGACAGTCAGGCACCACGTTAGATGCTAGAGGATAGAACAATAATGGCAAATGCTATGAAGAAAAAGCATGGTAAAAGCAGACTTTGTGAGGGTTTGATAAAGTGAGTTGTGGACTAAGGTTAAAAGGCAGGTTTGAATTAATGAGTAGGAGGGGTGATGGGCAAGAGAAAGGAACCCAGATGCAAGGGCCTTAAAAGGGAAGGGAGCCCAGGTTGTTTGAGAGCTACAGAAGGCCTCAGAGGGAAAATGGCTGGATTTAAGAATGGGATGGGATGCAGGGGACTTTAGTACCCAACTAGCCCTTCAATACTTTCCTTTTTCCTGGAAAGCAGTGGGAAGTCACTGCAGGATTCTGAACTGGGAAGTGGTATGGCCAGCTCTGTGTTTTCAAAAGACTCTTTAGCTGAAAGGCAGAGGTGGCTCAGCAAGGAGCAAGAATGGCTGTGCTCACAACAGCTGGAGGCTAAGCAGAGAGAGAGATGGGGTAACCAGGCACAGCTGGAAGCCAAGGACATCAGAGGGCACTCAAGTGACTGGAAGGTTACTTAGGACAAAAACTGGGCCTTCTGGACAGTGGAGGGCCATGTGTCTGAGGAAGCAGTTGGTTCCTGGATGGATAGTGATACCCTGAGCAAGGGAGGAAGACAGGATCTGTGCAGCAGCCAGTGATGAACTAGAGGTGGAAGCTGGATCTCTCCTGACTTCACCAGCACCTCTAACCAGAACACTGATCCAATCTGCTTACCGGTTCAGTTCCTTTTTCTCTTGTGACATGGAACTGCTCTGGAGTCAGTTTCTCTTGCCACTCAGCCTTGGTGAGAGATGGCCCACATGGCTCACATTTCGTCACAGACTCTGTATTATCAAATAGAGGGTTGTTTTTTTTTTAATTAAAATGAAAAGGCATGATTAATTTTTTTCCTCGAACTTTCTTCCAAAGCACACTATTGCCCAGAGGAATAATCCTGTCCCTTCCTCTCTCTGTCACTTCATTCTTCATAGGGACCAGAAAGCTCAGGTACAAAATGCCTTGATTATTTAATTTAATAAGAAATTAGTCATAAACAGAGAACCGGGGCACCCAAGCCAAAGAGGTAGCAGAAAAAGGAAATAATGTGGAATAAATTCTCCCCAGGTCCCTAGGGATGGAAATTGATCCTCTCTTCCATTCCGACTTTCAGAGAAGCACTTACTGTCGGGACACAGCTAGGAGCAGTGGAGAGATGGGACGGGAAAGAACCTTCAGATAGTAGGTTATTAAACTCCTCTTCCTTCCTGGTTTATAACAATATCTCTGACTTTGGTGGTCAAGGGAGGTCTTTATTAAAAAATCCTCTTGCATGGAGAAGAGACTCCTGTTGTATGTACCCAGGGGAAACTGAGACCTACCATAGTCTATATTATAATGCTTCGTGGGTTTTGTCCATGTTTTGTTTTTCTATTCCCTTTAGTTTCTGTCTTATTACTTTTATTTGGGTGACTACAAGCAAAATAACTAGGACAATACTCTTTCACTAAAGCAGGTAGAAAACCCAATTCTGATAAAAAATATTTTAATCATCCAATATGAAAAATGTGGAAGGATTTTATAATCTGTCCAACCTCTCAACTCACAAATGAGGAAACAGAGGCTCTAAGGATTAATAACCAGCCAGTGACACTGAAGATGAAAAAGCAAATACCTGTGAAGGGGCTGGTGATAGATCAGCAGTAGAGAGTGTGAGCTTAGCATGCATGAGGCCCTAAGCTCGATCCCCAGCACAAACAAGAAACAGCACCTGTCACATCTGCACCCATAAATCAAATAAGCCATAAAATTATTTTTGAAATTCATTTCTGATCACAAAAAAATTGTCCTAAATAATCCTGTAGCAAGAAAAGACTTATTTTTATCACTAGCTTGTAAGACTATACCATAATGAATTTTCAGTGTTGTTTACTGTAGATTGCTTATGATGTTTACATTCTGAAAAGTTTTTTTAAATTGCTAAGTATTAAAAGTCATGTTTTCTTAAATATTCCTTTTATAAGGCTATGGGGATTTCCTTCTTAGCATGGAAATAGATTTCAGAAATTTTTCTTATAAAAATATACCTCAGTTAATCCAAATTTTCAGGAACTCAAAATCTTTTGGGGAGCAAAGCAAAATATATTTGTGTGACAACTCTTACCATCCAGGAGAATTATCATGGGGAAGGAATGATAGGAATTTAAAAATCATTGGTTTTACAACCACCAAAATAATATCTGATTTGAGCAGGAATCACCAGGGGATTCTAAAACCACTGGGTGAAAGACAGTTTCTCTATATTCAGTTATTAAGCTCACTGGAATCTCAATGAACCATGGTGATTTTTGTATTTCCTTACCAGCTCACTTTATGTTTCTCCACAATTGGTTTTTAAAGCCTTTAATGTTCTCCTTCAAGCATGGTCTCCACTACCTCCCACCTTACTCTCAACAGATGACTCCACTTCACAGGGATCAAAAACCACAAAGGAAAGCCCTCCAATGTGCTGCTCAACTACCACATTTACTTGCACCTATCCCCTCCATCCCTCTCTTGTCTTGTTGCAATGAAACAAGAGATCTCCACCTACTGTCCATATGCTGCTGCTGTTTATCTGGTGTGCACCTCCTTCTGCCTAAGGACAAAAGCCACTGTCTCCCTTTCATAACCATCAACTTGCCCTCCTCTGGATGGCTGCCATCTGCACCTAGACACACTGAAACTCCGGGGAGAAGAAATTCACACAAAACTCATTTCCCTCACATGGCCACTCCAGCCACTCCTGAAAAAGCTGTTTTTATTTCCTTACCTCTCTCAGTCATGCCTTAAAACATTAGCTTCTACTCCTATGACTGCACTGAATGTGTTCTCAAAGAGCCATGGACTTTTCTGGTAAACCCATTAACACTTCATCCTGACCTCACTGACTTCTCAACACTATCTGACACTACTGACACTCATTTCCACAACACCAACTTCTCTCACCTCTCCAGGTGCTTCCTTACTCTAAGTGTCCTTTTCCAACTCTCCTTCCTCTAGCTATCCTTGAATACCTATGTTCTTCAAAAGGGGCTTTTGTCCTAGGCTTTCTTCTGTCCTTATTCCAGGTCTGTCCCATGGGTGATTGTATCCATTTAGTAGCTGAAAGCACAGCACATGATGAGGACTCCCAAATCTACTTTTCTCTACATTCTAGATCTCTCTGCTATTTCGGTCCTATACATAATCGCCACTGGGATGTCTCCACTGGGATGTCCCATCTCAAAAGGACCTCATGTATCTCCTTGCTCCAACCTGAATCTGCTTTTTACATTTGCTGAAGCTCATCCACCATGTTTCAAGCCAGAAGCCTGGGCCATCATCCATGACTGTTGCCTTTTCCTACACCAAGTCCTGTTGGCTTAACTTTCCAAAAGAACTCCAGAATCTGCTCATTGTCACTTCTCCTCAGCCATGACCTTGGACCATGCCACCAAGTTTCCTAATCCTCCTTCTATCTTGACCATTTCTGATTTTTTTTTCTCACTGCCTTAAATAGTTCAAATGTGATATGATACTCTCAAGGTCAAAACCAAACTTCTTAATGTGACCACCAAGGTCTCCTTGTCTCTAACATGGTTCTACTTTCCAATCCTCTCTTGTGCTACACTCGTTATCCTGGGCCACAGTCTTTTCACACACACACACACACCCTGCGCCCACACATTGTTTCTGTGGTCTCTTCCATGTTTTCTTCCCTCTGCTTCAACAACTCCTCTTTCCTTCTTTTTTCCTAATTCCAACTTGTCTTTCTGGATGAAGTAGTCTATAGATGTCAACAGCTCATCCACGGTGTCATTGAGTTCAACCATGCCATTACTGATTTTCTGCCTGTTGGGCCTGTCTTCCTGAGAGGGTGTTGAAGTCTCCAACTATG